CTATACCTTTGGTTTGTTTCTGATACAATAAATACATAAATTTAACTCGCCTAAGATGCTTCCTTGATCCCATAGCATTGAGCCATGGCAGCTAAAGTGGTATCAAACACGTAACTCTACAGTGTAGCGGCACCTATGACAACCTGTTTTGTTGTTGAATAGCTCTGGCCTTTAGGACATTTCTCATGACATTTGCTCAAAATGTGGTTTCTTTTTTCAATTGTTTCTCATAGATCTTGTTTTTCAGACAAGTAACCATCTTGGGGCTCCTCTTCAGGACATGATCCAATCTGTTTATATTCTTCTTAGAGAATGTTTACACCTATTATAGGGCCGGGCTAGCACAGTGAGTAAACCGCCAGCTATAGATGATCCTGCCAACCAGAAGGTCGGCAGTTCAAGCCTGGGTTGGGGTGAGCTTCTGCTGTCAGCCCAGCTTCTGCTCACCTAGCTGTTTGAAAACAACATTGTAAGTAGATAAATAGGTACAGCTTTGGCGGGGAGGTAAAAGGCGACCTGAAAAACATGCTGGCAAAAATCCAACTAGGAAAGGAGTCCATGGATGACAAGATCCTTAGCATGGAAAATGAAACAACAGCGCCTCCCCATGACTGAGTTGAGCACAGCAAGATGCCGGAGATGAAAAGAGGGAAGCTTTGCCTCTGTGTATGTATTGTCTGTCTGTCTGTCTTTGTCAATTGTATAACAGCATTACATGTTTGCCATATATGTACCTGTAATCTGCTCTGAGTCCCCTTGGGGAGTTAAAGCAGAATATAAATAAAGCATATAATTATGATGTTATATTATTATTAGCTTTGCATGAGACCACTCCTTTTTGGGTGAGCCCTTCCAGAACCGATTTACTGAAATGTATCTCTACATTGGGGATGTGTGGCTTTTACAATGAGTGCTTGGACATAAAGTCTTACTATTATATGATGGCTGAAGAAATATAAGAATTACTCTGGAAAGCTCAGGCTTCGTGTATCCAATTCATATTAGTGGATTCATTCTGAGTGTTCCACATTTACATGGAAATAATATAGAACAAAGACAAAGAGCCTCTGATTAAGTAAATCTGTAGTTAGGGATTTTGGACAGTAGGCAATGGGCACAGATAGAGGCTTGGCGAAAACATATTGTATACATGGTTTTAAAAATAGCCAGCAGAGGGAGTCAGTGTGGCACCAAGTGTGTAGCCTTTCAGGTGTGAAAGAAGGTAAGAAGTAACAATGTGTTGCCCTTCATATCAACTTGGAAATAGAAATACAGCACTGCATTATATGTAGGCTATATAACATAAATATTTTGAGCAATCACTTTGGCTAAATCCAAGCAAATCCAGTTACGATCACACAAAAAAGTTGGAGTTATGTGGATATATAAAGTTGGAGATATTAAGTCAGATTGCATTGCTGGTTGGTGCACCTAGTAACCGGTCTTTGGGGAGAGGTCTTTCCCCAATTCTTAAGGTGAATATCTTCTCCAATCACATATCTTTCAGACGTGTTATGTTACAAGTTCTCATCATCACAACCAACATGATTAATGCCTAATCTGTCTGAAAAATGCTGGGCGTTCAGTAATTTCACACAGGAGTTTGAATCCACATTTCTGCCTCATAACTTCATCTTCATTCTTGTGAGTAGAAGCCAGGACTGGATCTGTAGGAAATGTCACCTTTCAGTGTTGCTCCTCTCAGGCCTCTTCTACACTGACATATAAAATCCAGGTTATCTGCTTTGAACTGGATTATATGGCAGTGTAAAGGTAAAAGTAAAGGTTTCCCCCTGATATTAAGTCCAGTTGTGTCCAACTCTGGAGGTTGGTGCTCATCTCCATTTCTAAGCCGAAGAGTTGGCGTTGTCCATAGACACCTCCGAGGTCATGTGGCCAGCATGACTGCATGGAGCGCCATTACCTTACCACTGGAGCGGTCCCTATTGAACTACTCACATTTGCATGTTTTCAAACTACTAGGTTGGCAGAAGTTGGGTCTGACAGCGGGGGCTCACTCCACTCCCCAGATTTGAACCGCCGACCTTTTGATCAGCAAGTTCAGGAACTCAGCGGTTTAACCCACTGTGCAATCGAGCAGTGTAGACTTATAATCCAGTTCGAAGCAGATAATGTGGATTTGACAAAATCCATGACCATAAAAACCCAGCAGCAATTAAAACAAGTGAAGGCTTTTTGCATGTGAAAGTGAACCTGTTATTTGACGCATCATTGTAATTGGGCAACAATGACAATGATGAGTGCATATACTTAGAAGATTCATGAAACCAATTATTATAGAGTTTTAGCCTTACAGAGACAGTCAGACTTTTGTATCCAGGGATCCTGAATCCATGGATTCAACCATGTATGAAAACATGAACTATAACCACCCTCAAATAATTCCAAAAAGAAAATCTGGCTACCAGTATTAAAAAAAACTCAGGACAGTAAATAAAAAGCAACACCAAAAAAATAAAGAATTCCAAACAAGAATCCATCAGGGCCCACTAACACCTCCCAGCAAAGGATTCCCCCAGGCAGCAACCAGCCAGAATTTGAGGCTGCAAGGCCATTCAGTGCTAATCAAGGTGGCCAATTGCAACACTCATACGTGTCTCAAGCAGGCAAGAGTTCTTTCTTCCACCCTGGACATTCCACAGATATATAAACCCAATTTTCCGAGTTTCCAACAGATCTCACAACCTCTAAGGATGGCTGCCCTAGATGTGGGTGAAACTTTCGGAGGGAATGCCTCTGGAGCATGGCCGTACAGTCCAGAAAACTAAGAGCAACCCAATGAGTCTGGCCATGAAAGCCTTCAACAACACAGAAAACCTTAATTTTTTGATTCTGTATGAAAAATGCCATTTTCCTATCCCATTATAAAACATGAGACACAATCATCTGTAGATGTTGGTATTAATGCACCAGTGGATACCATGAACCCACAGTAAATATATGCTGGAGTTATAAAATTCTTTGGTAGTTATACCTAACTGAAGGGCTATTTCAATAGGAATGAAGACATTTCGGTACTGTTCCATTATGGGGAGGAAGCCACAAGGGGGCGCTAGAGAGAGAAGGATAGTCCATTTTATGGGCAGGAAGAGTTGAAGGAGGAAAACAATTTCCCCCTTTTTTATTGATTACTTCCCTGCCACACTTCCCATTTCATAAATGAGGGTTGTTTCCAGGACTGGGACATAGGCGATGGGAATAAGAGGAGAACAGGGGGAAATAGTTTTCCTCCTTCAACCCAGCCTCCCAGCCCTGTAAAATGGACTATCCTGCTCTCTCTCTCTCTCTCTCTCTCTCTCTCTCTCTCTCTCTCTCTCTCTAGCACCCCCTTGTGGCCTCCACTGGGAAAATTAAACAGTACTGAAATTTCTTCTGAAACAATGCTGAATGTGTTGTTGAAGGCTTTCATGGCTGGAATCACTGGGTTGCTGTAAGTTTTTCAGGCTGTATGGCCATGTTCCAGAAGCATTCTCTCCTGACGTTTCACCTGCATCTATGGCAGGTATCCTCAGAGGTTGTGAGACCTCACAACTTCTGAGGATGCCTGCCATAGATGCAGGCAAAACATCAGGAGAGAATGCTTCTGGAACATGGCCATGCAGCCCAAAAAACTTACAGCAACCCAACACTTAATGTTTTTATAAGTCACTTCGGTGTCAACCTCTTCTGAAGGAAGGAAGATGAGAAGGAAGGAAGGAAGGAAGGAACTCTCCAATGACCCCACTGGGAAGGACATGTTTGGGTGCCTCCACCCTATGGAATGTATTAGTTTGGTATCACTTGGGCAGGGCTTGATGCTATGGAACAGGCATGGGCAAACTTCAGCCCTCCAGGTGTTTTGGACTCAAACTCCCACAATTCCTAACATCCTGGAATTGTGGGAGTTGGAGTCCAAAACACTTGGAGGACTGAAGTTTGCCCGTGTCTGAGGGTCAAAAGGAAAGGGTCTGAGGATGTTAGGAATTGTGGGAGTTGGAGTCTAAAACACTAGGAGGGCTGAAGTTTGCCTGTGCCTGAGGGGCAAAAGGAAAGGAGGATGTTAGGAATTGTGGGAGTTGGAGTCTAAAACACTAGGAGGGCTGAAGTTTGCCTGTGCCTGAGGGGCAAAAGGAAAGGAGGATGTTAGGAATTGTGGGTGTTGGAGTCTAAAACACCTGGAGGGCCGAAGTTTGCCGTGTCTCAGGGTCAAAAAGAAAGGGCCTGAGGATGTTAGGAATTGTGGGAGTTGGAGTCTAAAACACTAGGAGGGCTGAAGTTTGCCTGTGCTTGAGGGGCAAAAGGAAAGGAGGATGTTAGGAATTGTGGGAGTTGGAGTCCAAAACACCTGGAGGGCCGAAGTTTGCCTGTGCTTGAGGGGGGGGGGGAAGAGTCTGAGGCTGTGGGGAATTGTAGGAGTTGGAGTCCAAAACACTTGGAGGACTGAAGTTTGCCCGTGCCTAAGGGGCAAAAGGAAAGGAGGATGTTAGGAATTGTGGGAGTTGGAGTCCAAATCACCTGGAGGGCTGAAGTTTGCCCGTGCCTAAGGGGCAAAATGAAAGGAGGGTTTTAGGAATTGTAGGAGTTGGAGTCCAAAACACCTGGAGGGTCGAAGTTTGTCTGTGCTTGAGGGGGAGAGTGTCTGAGGCTGTGAGGAATTGTGGGAGTTGGAGTCCAAAACACCTGGAGGGCTGAAGTTTGCCTCTGCCTGGCGTAGCTGCACAGACCCTCTCTTCCTCCTCCTCCTCCTCCTCTTCTTCTCTGGCGCCAAGTTGTGCGAGCGCGCCCTCTGCCGGCCATTGCCGCTCCTGCAGGCCGGCCACTCCCTCCCCAGTCTCCGCCCGCACCTTGCCGGAGCCGGGCAGAAGCAGCAGCAGGAGCATCAGCAGCCTCCTCAGCCTCGGCAGCTTCGGGCTCCGCTGAGGAGTCGACCTCCCTCTCTCCTCCCTCCTCTCCTTCTTCGTCCCCGGCCACTCTCCTTGGCCTCCTGCCGGCCAAGCACGATGCACCGCTGCCTCCCGCTGCTGGTGCTGCTGGCCTTGGCCCAGCGCCGTGCCTGCCTGCCCGGGCCGGAGGAAGAGGGGGCCCCGCCGGCCCTGGAGCCAGCCTGCCGCGGACAGCCCTGCAAGAACAACGGCACCTGCCTGCCGGCCCTGGCCCGCCTGCCCGCCGCCGCTGCCCTCCCGCGACGCCTCCCGCTCCTCTTCCTCCAGCCCCAGCCCGCCTTCACCTGCGCATGCCCCCCGGGCTTCTCCGGCCCCCAGTGCCAGGTAAGAAGAGAAAGGGAGGGTGGCAGGGTGGGAGAGAGGGAGACTGCGCGCCTTCCTTCCTTAGCTTCCCACTCGCATCCCTCCCTCCCTTCCTTCTTTACCACCATCCTATCTTCCTTCCTTCCCACTTACATGCCTTCCTTCCTATCTTCCTCCCTCCCTTCTGTTCCTATCTCACTCCTTTCCGCCCTCTTTCCATCCCATTTACCTCCCTCCCTCTTCCCTTCCTATCTTCCCACTTACTTGCCTCTCTCCCTCTCTCCCATCCTTCTTTACCACCATCCTATCGTCCTTCCTTCCTTCCTTCCTTCCTTCCTTCCTTCCTTCCTTCCATCCTTCCTTCCTTCCTTCTCTATCTATCTATCTATCTATCTATCTATCTATCTATCTATTTATCTATCTTCCCACTTACATGCTTCCCTCCCTCCCTCCTTCCCTCCCATCTTTCTTCCCACTTACTTGCCTCCCTCCCTCTCTCCCATCCTTCTTTACCACCATCCATCCTCCCTCCCTCCCTATCTTCCCTCTTACTTGCTTCCCTCCTTCTCTCCCTCCCTTCTCTATCTTCTTACTTTCTATCTTCCCATTTACTTGCCTCTCCCTCTTTCCCATCCTTCTTTACCTCTTTCTCCTTCCTTCCTTCATTCCTTCCTTCCTTCCTTCCTTCCTTCCTTCCTTCCTTCCTATCTATCTTCCCACTTACATGCTTTCCTCTCTCCCTTCCTTCCTTCTTCCCACTTACTTGCTTCCCTCTCTCCAATCTTTCTTTACCACCATCCTATCTTCCTTCCTGTCTTCCTGCCACTTACATACCTGTTTCTCTCTCGCTCCCTTTTTGCCCTCTTTCCATCCCACTTACCTCCTTCCCTACTTCTTCCCTTCCTTCCATCCCTCTTTCTTTCCCTCTCTCCTTCCTTTCTTCCCAAATACCTTCCTTTCTGCCTTCCTTCTCACTTGCATACCTTCCTTCCCATCTTCCTCCCTCCCTTCTGTTCCTCTCACTCCTTTTTGTCCTCTTTCCATCCCACTTACCTCTCCCTCCCCTCCCTCCCTCCCTTCCACCCTTCCTTCCTTCTGTCCTTCCTCCTTTCCCTCTCTCCTTCCTATCTTCCTTCCTTCCCAATTACTTTCCTTCCTTCCTGCCTTCCTTCCTTTCCACTTACACACATTCATTCCCATCTTCCTCCCTCCCTGTTCCTCTCTCACTCTGCCCTCTTTCCATCCCATTTACCTCCTTCCCCCTTCCTTCCTTCCTTCTGTCCTTTCTCCTGTCTGTCTCTCCTTCCTATCTTCCTTCCTTCCCGCTTACATACCTTCCTTCCCATCTTCCTCCCTCATTTCTGTTCCTCTCTCATTTCTTTTTGCCCTCTTTATATCCCACTTACCTCCCTCCCTCCATTCTGCCTTTCTTCTTTCCTTCCTTGCAACCCTCCTCCTTTCCCTCTCTCTCCTTCCTTCCTTCCTTCCTTCCTTCCTTCCTTCCTTCCTTCCTTCCTTCCTTCCTTCCTTCCTTCCCACTTACAAACCTTCCTTCCCATCAGCCCCCCTCCTTTCTGTTCCTCTTACTCCTTTTTGCCCTCTTTCTATCCTGCTTATTTCCCCTCCTCCTTTCTTTACCACCATCTTTCCTCCTTTCTCTCCTTGCTTCCTCCCGTCCCTCCCTCCCTCCTTCCTCCCTTCCTTCCTTCCTTTCTTCTTTCCTCCTTTCCTTCTTTCCCTCCCTCATTCTTTCCCTCTCTCCTTCCTTCCTTCCCACTTACATACCTTCCTTCCCATCTTCTTCCCTCCTTTCTGTTCCCCTCTCACTCCTTTTTGCCCTCTTTCCATCCTGCTTACCTCCCTTTCTCCTTTCTTTACCACCATCCTTCCTCCCTTTTCCCTTCCTTTCTCCCGTACCTCCTTCTTTCCCTCTCTCCTTCCTATCTCCCATAACTCCCTCTCCGCCTCCTCTGTCTTTTCTCCTTCCCCCTTTCTTTCTTTTCAGATTTTCCCCTCCTTGTGCCTTATCCTTTTACTCTCCACTTGCCCTTCTGCCAAGGTGCCCTGCCTCCTTTTGCCCTCTTTGTGGGGCACATATCCTTCATCCCCTTGATTTGACCGCTTCTCTGTTTTGATCTGTTGTTACACAGTCCTCCCCATGTCTCTGTGCTTTCCTTTCCCCCCATTTATTTTGGCAAGGAGATCTTTTGGAGGATCTCCCGGGCCCCTTCCACACAGCTGAATAAAATTCAACATTTTCTGCTTTGAACTGGAATATATGACAGTGTGGACTCTGTTTAAAGCAGATATTGTGGAATTTTCTGCCTTGATATTCTGGGTTATAGGTCTGTGTTCTCTGTTCTCTTTGTCTTTTGGGAGAGGAGCCATAAGGACACATGTCCCATGCCCTGGATGATGAAGGAAGAGCATCTTGGCCTCTCCTTGGGCACTGCACTTCTTGAAAAGTCCTCTCTTCTGTTCTGGGAATGATGGGTTGGGGGTCCTGAGAGGGCCTTTCCACATAACCATACAACCAAGAATATCAAGGCAGAAAATCCCACAATATCTGCTTTGAATGGGTTATCTGAGGGCCCTTCCACACAGTCTTATATTCCGGAATATCAAGGCAGAAAATCCCACATGATCTGAGTGTGGACTCAGATAACCCAGTTCAAAGCAGATAATGTGGGATTTTCTGCCTTGATATACTGGGATATAGGGATGTGTGGAAGGGCCCTGAGTCCACACTACCACATATCCCAGTTCAAAGCAGGTAATGTGGGATTTTCTGCCTTGATATTCTGGGATATAGGGATGTGTGGAAGGGCCCTGAGTCCACACTACCACATATCCCAGTTCAAAGAAGGTAATGTGGAATTTTCTGGCTTGATATTCTGGGATATAGGGCTGTGTGGAAGGGGCCCGAGTCCACACTATCACATATCCCAGTTCAAAGCATGTAATGTGGGATTTTATTCAGCAGTGTGGAAGGGGTCTGAGATATTGCTTTTGAGGACAGTGGGTTGGGTGTCCTCTGGGTCTGTCGGAAAGGCCGCTCCATCAGCGCTTCTCAAGGGTACCGCAAACTCCTTGCCTGATTGAAAGCAGAGATCGCAGTTTGTCCTGCTCAAGGTTAAATCCGAAGGCTTTTGTCTTTCTCTCTTGCTTAGCTCCCCTTTTAGAGAAACATTTCAGTGCTTTGATCAATAGCTTTTGCTCATCAGGAAATGTCCTGGTGGCTTTTCTCGCTGTGTGTGACAATAGGGTATTTATTTATTCCTTAGCTTAAACTTCCAATAGCTCTGTGGCAGGACCTCATGCCGTGGGACTACAATGGAGAGAGAAAATAGACCTCCAGCAGCTTTACATTCTCCCTTTTATCGTTACTATTTTTTATATAGAACATCATCAATGCCTTGATGATAAATTGTTAACAGAGTCTCATTGTTGGTTTCGGAATACGATGTGGTTCACTTTGGTGGAAAACGAACTATCGGTTTGAATGTGGGCTTTAAAATGTTGCACTGAGATCCCTTTCCACAAGAAGGAAAACAGTCACATTCTTCTTGTATTTCATCAGATAAGGCTGCCTGGATTTGTATTCCCTTGTTTTTATTTGGAGCTAAAGGTTCCATAATACGTCAGGATGTAGGAAATTATATTTGTTTTATTATTTGCAAGGAGATGTGCTCCTTTACACCATTATTATTATTATTATTATTGGTTTTTTGTTTGTTGTGTCAGGAGCGACTTGAGAAACTGCAAGTCGCTTCTGGTGTGAGAGAATTGGCCATCTGCAAGGACGTTGCCCAGGGGACGCCTGGATGATTTGATGTTTTTATCATCCTTGTGGGAGGCTTCTCTCATGTCCCCGCATGAGGAGCTGGAGCTGATAGAGGGAGCTCATCCGCCTCTCCCCGGATTCGAACCTGCAACCTGTTGGTCTGCAGTCCTGCCGGCACAGGGGCTTAACCCACTGTGCCACTTGGGGCTCCCAGTGAAGTTTTTATATATTATATTTTAATGTATTTAATTTTATGAATACATATATCCATATATGTGTATTTTAATTTATATATATTATATTATATTATATTATATTATAGTATATTATATACAGTGGAGTCTCACTTATCCAACCTTCGCTCATCCAACGTTCTGTATTACCCAACGCAGTCTGCCTTCCACCCGGATCCACAGCTGTTTCAAAACATTGTGATGTTTTGCTGCTAAATTCGTACATATAGTAATTACTACATAATGTTACCGTGCATTGATAATAATACATTGATTATAATATTCTAATGTAATACAATATAATACTAATAATAATGATACAATATAATAATTATATATTTCATATTACATGTAATATTACTAATAATATTACAGTATAGAGGTATAGTATAATATGGAAATGTATAGTACTAAAACTGTGCTATGCTAATAATATAATATATTGTATTTACATATAACTTGTAAGCCGCTCTGAGTCCCCTTCGGGGTGAGAAGGATGGCATAAAAATGTTGTAAACAAACAAATAAATAATATTGAACTGCTTTTTCTGTCGATTTGTTGTCAAACACAATGTTTTGGTGCTTAATTTGTAAAATCATAACGTAATTTGACATTTAATAGGCTTTTCCGTAATCCCTCCTTATTATTCGACATTTTCTCTTATCCAACGTTCTGCCAGCCCATTTATGTTGGATAAGTGAGACTCTACTGTAATATATAATACTAACATTGTGCTGTGTTAATAATATAATATATTGTAAGTAAATGTAAAGGTTTCCCCTTGACATTAAGTCTAGTTGTGCCTGACTCTGGGAGGTGGTGCTCATCTCCATTACTAAGCCGAAAAGCCGGCGTTGTCCATAGACACCTCCAAGGTCATGTGGCTGGGATGACTGCATAGAGCCGTTACCTTCTCGCCAAAGCGATACCTATTGATCTAATAACATTTGCATGTTTTTGAACTGTTAAATTGGCAGAAGCTGGGGCTAACAGTGGGAGCTCA